GTCATAGCTCACAGCAACTTCCAAATCTTGGGCTTAAGTGATTCTCTTTTCTCAGCTTCCCAAGTAGCTAGGACTACAGCCATCCACCACAATGCCCAGCTATTTTTTGTTGCAGTTGTCATTATTGTTTAGCTGGCCTGGGCCAGGTTTGAACCCGCCAGCCTTGGTGTATGTGGCTGGCTCCATAACCATTGTGCTATGGGCACCAAGCCAACAATATATTTTTTTAATGGGACTAAATAACCATTGGATAAATGGCAAATTACTTGCCAGACATGAGTAGACCTACCATTTGATCCAGCAATTCCTCTACTAGGTATATACCCAGATGAATAAAAATCATTTTAGAACAAAGGCATTTGCACCAGAATGTAGCCCAATTCATAATTGTCAAAATATGGAAACAGTCCAAGTGCCTATCAACCCATGAATGGATTAACAAATTGTGTTATATGTACACCATGGAATACCATGCAGCCATAAAAAAGATGGAAACCTTACACCTTCTATGTTTACCTGGATGGAGCTGGAACATATGCTTCTTAGCAAAGTATCTCAAGAAGGGGAAAAAAAATTTCCAATGTACTCAATACTACTATGAAATCAATATATAATCATCTGCACATTCATACTCATGGTAAAACATAACTATAGTCCAGAAAGTAGAAGGGAAGAGGAGAGAGAGAGGAGGGAAGGGGGGAGGCAGAGGGAGAGTTTTTGGGGGTTGGGGGGACCTCACCTAATGTGCATAATGCAATGGTACATTTCAAAACTATTAAGAAAAGAGTATAATTGGGCGGTACCTGTGGCTCAGCGAGTAGGATGCTGATCCCATATACCGAGGGTGGTGGGTTCAAACCCAGCCCTGGCCAAACTACAACAACAACAACAAAAAATAGCCGGGCATTGTGGTGGGCACCTGTAGTCCCAGCTACTCAGGAGGCTGAGGCAAGAGAATCACCTAAGCCCAAGAGCTAGAGGTTGCTGTGAGTTGTGATGCCACAGCACTCTACTGAGGACAACAAAATGAGACTCTGTCTC